CTTTCTTGATAACAATATTTGACGTTAAATAGTTCATAAATCTTCTTTCGAATTTTTTGATAATATTTGAACATCTTTATTTGTCTTTTGCAATTACAATCTTTTTACAACAATATTGTAGATGAAATATTAGCATCATCATATGATTTAATTTGATATTTCAATAACAGTTGATTAGATGCTCTCACATAAAATTCTATAGTATTACAAGATTAGCCTTAAATAAAAACACAAATTTAAGATATATTAGGTATTTAAATATTGGGGGTTTCAAAATTAAAAGTTAAGAAATCTTATTTTATTTTCCTGATTGATAAAAAATGCAACAAAATTGTGCAATTTTTTGTTAATCTTGAAACCCCATTAATATAAAATCTTACTTTATCTAGATTACGGTAAATCCATTCAGCATATGGAAATTTACTCCTGAGCTTTATAAAGAATGTTGATATTGTCGCCTCCATAGCGCAAACATATTCTATAAATGAATTATAGAGCATACACTCAATTGTTGCCATATGACTTAAAAATTGTTACTTAAAATTATTTTAATATATATCTGATCATACCTTAAATCTGGAATACGCATCCCATCTTCCACATAAGCAACTGTGGATGTTCGAGTACCAATATATACAATATATGCAACTGATATACTAGCACCGAAACTTACACAAACTGATTCTTACACCACAAAAATATGCCGAAATTCCATATATTATAGTGGCATTGTTATTATTTCCGGATGATTATAGGTATCAGGAATATGACTAATATATATAAAAAGAGATAGATTACTGTTTATTCAATAACATGTTAAAAATTTAATCAATACATTATTGCATACCTTAAAATTCTTCAAAGAGATCCAAGCTTCTCCGTTATCGTTACGGTCCAAATTGTTTCTAAACCTCCAACAACTGCTTTAATAGAATTATAATCCTTAATATTAAATTTAATATATTGTATTGAATAGAATTTATTCTCTTTATTACATAGGTGAAATGCCTAAAAATTGCATGAAAATACTGATACTTTGGAATCTATTCAGTTAAGAAATGAAAAACTTCAAATTAGTTTTATAGTTGATTTGTCACATAGTGATTTTAGCGGGCATAATAATTTTGAAGAATCTCATACAACATATGTAATACAAGAAAGTGGTAATATGGATTTTAATCCTATAGAAATTGTGGAAAGTGAATTTCAATTCACTAATGAAAATTTATTCTAAGTAGTATGGGTTTGTATTATAAATAAAATACTCATTTTAATAAAATATTTATCACTTTTTTTGCTATTATCACTTTTATAGTACTTTTGTTCGCTAATTTTTCAAATGTTCTAATTTGCCATTACATAGTTTACTGGGCTTTTTGTTGTGCTTGCGTTAATCTCATTTTCATTTGGAATAAATAGTTTTTTTTTTTGTAATGAAAAGTATATATAACTTGTTACCTGTCATACTCAACTTGCCTGCTTATTTTTTTTTTTTTTGAACTTTTTAATTGTTTAAAGATTAATCATTTTCAAAAGTCTGTTTAAGATAGGTTATGATTTATTGACGGAAGTTCTTATTAATGAATTCGAAATGAATTTGATAATTTTTACTTATAATAAATTTTCATATATCTGATATCTGATATATACATATTACGTGTAAATTATAGTTATCGTATGGGTCTGATGTAACAATCTGTGCGTCACTTAACAATGTATCAATGATTTATATTAATTTTTTTTTACATAAATATTTGTTCATAAAACTTCTTCCTAATTTTACCTCTTTCCTAATACAGTAATATGTCTCTTACAGTTGACGATTCTGAAGTCCAACGTTTAATAAATCTTTCATATGTAGCAAATACAGAAAAGAACACTTCAAAATAGCTTCGTTATGTAGATTGATATCAGCAAGAAAAAAATATTGCAAAGACGTTAGATCAATTTGATAAGCAGGAACTTGATAATTTTTTAAGCTCATTCATTAGTTGGCTTTTGAAAAAAGATAGAACCTTATTTAAAGTAGAATCAGTTCACAATTGTTATGCTGCACTGGCTAGGTACCTTCGTGAAAACTCTTCTATTGAAGGTGGTGTTCGGATCTGAGATAAGTATTCTTTTCCAAAGGCACTTCATTGCTTAGATGGGAAAATGAAATCTCTACAACAAGCTAGTTATGGTGATACTTCAAAGAGTGATTCACTTACTTCAGATGAGATTATGTCTTGTCTAAATCATAATTACTTATCAGTTGAAAATAATGAGAGTTTAGTTCGGAGATGTTTTTTTTGGCTGTCATTGTTGTGTGGGTTAAGAGAAGATGATACATATAAGTTGGAATACTGAGATCTTGAAAGACAAAATGATAGTGGCTTTCAATTAAGATTCAGAAAAGAAAAAAACAACCAAGATAGAGTACTTTATCGACAACGATATGGTCATACTAGAACATGATTTATACCAATTCCTCCTGACTGTATTGATAATCAATTTACACCCATTAAAGACCTTCTTCTCTACTTGTCAAAATGTCCTACTAATTGTGAATCTATGAGTGCTTTATTTTTACAATGCATAAGAAAACAAATAGGTAATAATAGTTTATTAATTTATATTATATTTAATTTTTTTTTTTTCTAGAAATCAATAAAGGAATTTGGTACAAAAATACTCGAATAGGTAAAAACATGTTAAAATCAATGATGCAACAAATTATAATTAATGTTGGAATAAATTTAAATAGTAGAAAAATCACAAATCATAGTGCTTGACGTACAGCAATAATGATCTTAAAGGCTTTTGATATTCCTGAAGATAAAGCTATGATATTCTCTGGGCATCATTCTCGTGAAGGCATTCGTGCATATAGTAATCCAACAGATGACCAGCGCTTATACTCAACAACATTACTTATTCTATATATGGCTTATAATAAGGATCTTGAGTCATACTATTCTTTCCCAGGTGATTCTTATATTGATTACGATTCTGATGAAAATGATGAAACAGGTTAGTATAAAAAAAATTCAATATTAAAAAAAAAACTATGCTTATCTTTTAGATGCTCTAGCAATAGTAACTTCAAATATATCAAAACCAAATCAAAATTCTACTTTACCTAATCTG